GAGAATTCTGTGACTTCATTGGCTTCCTTCCACCTCTACCTGAGTGTCCAGGTTGTCCTTTTCTATAAAACTAGTCAGACTGGGCCACGGCTTGACCTATGGATCGTATCTTAACTCTGCAAAGATCCATTCCAAGTAAGATCAGTCACAGCAGTGGGGTGAAAGCATACATCAACACTTTAGAAGACACAGTTCAACCCATAACAAGTGTGAAAGTCATAGTCTTGTGTTTTAACCTATTAGACAAATACAGGACCATTAAAGCTTTTTGTGCAAAGAAAGAAGTGACATAGTGGGTTCCAATTGTGCAGTGACGAGGTGCCTTCAAAGTAGGCATGAGGACTGCTTCTGCTGCTGTAGAATAGGACAGCCGTCAGTAACTGAGTTCTTCCTGCGAGGTGCACTGTGCCACGTGCTTTGTGCTTACTTGAATTTCAGGAAATTTATGACGTAGTATTAGGACTGACTTCCTAAGTATGAAGAAATAAGGTTAGAGAAAAACAAATAGAAGAACAGAAAGAGATTGATAATTTAGCTCAAAATTTTAGTGTTGTATCAAGTGGTAACTTGAAAATGGCCAAGTTGAAGATAAGTTGCCTGTGGCTGGATGAAGGACAAGGATTTGTGCCAGTGGTATGATGAGAACGGGTGGTCTCGCCTGAAGAGGAAGTGGAAGTGAAAGTGCTCAGAGGACACTGTGACCCGGGCAGTGTGTGTTCAGTGGTGATGGGGGAGGAGCTGTGGTGGACTTGGGTGTGAGCAAAGGGAAGCACAGGAGGGAAATGGTTTATGTGTAAGAGCACAGACCACAGACAGGGCCGCCAGCCAGTTCAGGTGCCCCTTATGTGTTGTGCTCGGCCTGTTCAAAGATTTATCTTCAATTGAAAAAATTACTTGTGTGTGTGTGTGTGTGTGTGTGTGTGAGAGAGAGAGAGAGAGAGAGAGAGAGAGAGAGAGAGAGAGACACACGTGTGCAGGTGCTAGTGGAGGCTGGATCCTGGAGCTGGATTGCAGGTGGTTATAAACTCCTGATGTGGGTGCTGGGAACTGAACTTGGGTCCCTGCAAGAACATTATCCATCCTAACTGCTGATTCATCTCTCCAGCTCCTTTTGACTACATTTCTTAACACAACTGCCAAGAGGGCCTTAAAAGATAAGTGTGTGTGTGTGTGTGTGTGTGTGTGTGTCTGTCTGTGTGTCTGTGTGTCTTTGTCTGTGTGCATGTGTGGGTCTCTGTGTGAGATAAAATTACATGGTTCGGTGCAGTAGACATTTTCAAGTTTGTTGAGCTCTGTTGAAGCCTGCGCCAACAGAAATCAACAAGGAGTACTTGGGAGGGAGCGCTGAGGCTGAGGAAATGTTAGAGGAATTGAGACAGAAAACACAGGATAGATTTGGGGAACTGCCAGAGACTGCCGCAGCACCAGCGACCTCCAACGCCTCCCCAGACTGGATTCCCATTGTGTCCTACCCCATCCTGCCTTCCACTTCCCCACACAGGAAACTGGGAGCAACTCTTGACTGGGGGGCGGAGCGCGGTGGGCTGTGGGGAGCCTGTGAAACGCGGAGGTGATGCTGATGAGGAGGGTCACCCCCAAGTCTGTGCCAAATGCTGTGCACAATTCTCTAACCCGACCGAACTCCTTACTCACCAGAATGAATGTTGTCCTGACCCACTTGTAATGATGATAATTGGGGACCAGGAGAACCCCAGCAACTCTTCAGCCTCTTCTGCATCCCGGCCAGAGGGCCACAGTATGCCCCAGGTCATGGACATAGAAGCCAGCAATTCCCCAGATTCTGGGTCTCCTGGGCCTCCTGATCCTACCTGGGGGCCAGAGAGGAGAGGAGTCTTCAGGGCATTTCTTGGTTGCTGCCACAGGGACAGCAGCTGGGGGCGGTGAGGGTCTGAGCTTGGCCAGTCCCACACTGGGAGCAACCCTATTACCTCCAGAACCTACTCCTGTTCTCCCCCCTCCCCTGCCCTGCTGGGCAGCACTGGTCAGCTGATTGCCTCACCTCATCTGGCATTCCCAGGCGTCACAGGACTCCTGGCAGCTTCCCGCAGCAAGGGGTCTTGAGGCTGCTGCCTCCCCAGTGCTCCTGAAGCCAAAGAATGGAAGTGGAGAGCTGGGCTATGGGGAAGTATAGAACAGGAGAGTACTGTTTGAGAATTGAAATCTCAAATTTACAATCCAGACAGGATGGAAAATATCAGTAATCCCAGCACTTGAGGTACTGAGGCAGTGGATTGCTGCAAATTTGAAGTTGTATGTGAGGGGCCAAATAAAGAAACTGCTGACATGACTGTTCCATGGGGGAGGGGAAGAGAAGAAAGAACGTCGGAGCAGACAGAAAAGGAAGCAGACAGGACATAGCCGGGGCTCGGGAGGTGGGAGAGCAGGAGACAGAATAGCTGGGGAGAACAGTGGAGATAGTGGGGGACAGAGAATAGCAAGAGAGCAGAAGATAGCAAGAGGGAAGGGAGAGAGATAGCAAGAGATAGAGTATGGGGAGGGGAGGAACACAGGAGATAGGCTCCGCTTGGGAGTAGTGGAGGATAGCAGATTAAAGAGGGGAGTAGCTTCAGGGACAGAGGGGCCAGGAGAGCATTGTGGATTTGAATTGCATAACAGTATTTGTGAGTAGGGATGCTGGGTGCCTGGAGGCTGGCATGGGCTTTGATAATGCAACCGCAGTAGCCATATGTCCCTTCTGCCAGAAGTAAGGGAAAGGACTCCTTTTGGCAGATGGGAGCCAGTTTCACAAATTTTTGAGAAATGCTGGCTTTTATCTAACCACCAGAAATCCTCCTATAGTTCTTTTTTTTTTTTACATTTTTAATTGATTTTGTTGATCTATACCTTTTTCTCTGCTTCCCTTTCTTCCTCTTCCTTCCCCTTCAGCCCTCTCCCATGGCCCCCATGCCCCCAATTTACTCAGGAGATCTTGTCTTTTCCTACTTCCCATGTAGATTAGATCCATGTATATCTCTCTGAGGGTCCTCATTGTTGTCTAGGTTCTCTAGGATTGTGAATTGTAAGCTAGTTTATAGAGCTGCTCAGGTCATTGGGTCATCCTGAGCTTTGGGGAAGTGCTTCAGCATGGACCCACTGTTGTCTGCTTGCCCTGCAGAGACACGGTCAGCTACTGGGTTGTGTTCTGTTGCTTCTGTGTGTCAGCTAATGGTGATTTTCTCAGCACAGAGGAGCTGATCACTCACTCAGGCTCCAGGGCCAGGAGTACATTATTGAGGTGAGGCAGATGTGGGTAACAGTTTGGAACAGGCCTCCCCTGGTGCTGTGTCCTCAGGAGGACATCACTCTTTATACTGGTGTTAAGAGCTCATCCTGTCACGGGAGACGCTCACATATAGTCCGTCCCTGTACATTGTACATAGTGAGCCTTTGCAGTCATTCACAATAGCATCCTGTGGAGAGGCAGAATGTTATGGTGGCAAGGTGTGACAGAGCAAAGCTGTCTGTCTTTTGGTGGCCAGGAAGCAAAGGAGTTTTAGACAGGAGCCGGGCCCAAGAGGTATAACTATTCAAGGGTGTACCTTCAGTGACACTCTTCCTCTACTAGGTCGAACATCCAGTTCTTCCGTAGTCTATTCACATCCTTCTGTCCGTCCATCCATCCACCCATTTTTTATTTATTTATTTGTTTACTTTGTATACAATATTCTGTCTGTGTGTATGCCTGCAGGCCAGAAGAGGGCACCAGACCCCATTACAGATGGTTGTGAGCCACCATGTGGTTGCTGGGAATTGAATTCAGGACCTTTGGAAGAGCAGGCAATGCTCTTAACCTCTGAGCCATCTCTCCAGCCCCCATCCACCCATTTATTTATCTAATTTTTTAACAAGTTCTTTAAAATATTTACTTTATGTACATATAACTGCTCTAGCCGCACATACACCTTTACAACAGAAGAGGGTGTCAGCTCCCACTGTAGATGGCTGGGAGCCATCCTATGCTTGTTGGGAATTGAACTCAAGACCTCTGAAAGAGCAGCCTCTGAGCCATCTCTCCAGCCCTTATTAATGGTCTTTCACATGTCTCCCAATCCAGTCAAGTTGCCAGTCAAAGTAATCACACACTCTGGTGCAGACCTGGTCAGCTGTCCGGGCACAGCTGGCATTCTAGAGATCGTCAGATCTGCCTTCCTTTGTGTCAGGGTGCCTCTGGCTTGTACCTGGAACTCTTCCTTAAGTTAGTGGGGTTTGTTTATTTGTTTGCTTTTGAGATGGTTTCTCTGTGTAGCCCTGGCTATCCTGGAACTCGCTATGTAGATCAGGCTGGCCTCGAACTCACAGAGCTCCGCCTGCCTCTGCCTCCCCAGTGCTGGGATTAAAGGCGTGTGCCACCACTGCCCAGCAAGTATTTGTTTATTTTTAATGACCCAAGACTGTGAGTTTTTTTTTTTTTTTTTTTTGTTCAGCACTACAAAAGAAGAGCTTCTTGTCTGACACACATTTCACACTTTGATTGACTCACGGCCTTTTCCGGGCTTCTCTGGAGGCTCTTTTGTAAGAACTCTTCCTTCTCAAATGTGTCTGGCGCTGTCTGTGGCCTCGCCACTGTGCCGTGTGCTGCTGCTTGCTCGACTCGCGTATTTGCTGTTAGGCTGTGGTTTGGCTCTCTGGGGTCTGCTGACCGTCTGATACCTCGTCATACACTTTGATTCTTCTCAGGGTGTGTTGCTCACGTTCCGTCTTCCGTAGTGTAAAGCAGCATAGTCTCGCCTTTGGTTTAGGAGCCTTCCCAAAGCCGTGAAGTATGAGTGTTAGTCCACAGGCCCTGCTTGCTCCTGTCTCTTTAAGACTTAGTGATTATTGCAGCCAGCCTCTCTGTTTCCTTGTTTTCTGTGCCCGTGAATATGACACATGAAAGGCACTCTGTGGACTGAAGGGGATTTTGTGAACCCAGCGGTTCAGAGTGAAATCCAGAATTTTCCAATGAAAAGCTTGATTGTTCTTTAAATTTGCTTTTGTAGGGAGGTGACAAGGTCCCTGAATTTCCAGCAGTGATTGTGGAGCCAGTGCCCAGTGCAAGATTAGAGCAGGGCTACGCTGCCCAGGTTCTGGTGTATGACGATGAGACTTACATGATGCAGGATGTGGCGGAAGAACAAGAAGTTGAGACCGAGAATTCGGAAACAGGTAGACATCACAAAAGTGTTTTTTCCTACAACTCTTATTTTTAAGAAATTATCTATTTTATGTGTAAGGGCATTTTACCTGCATATATATCTGCATTGTGTGTGCAGTGCCCATGGTGGCCAGAAGAGGGTATTAGATTCCCCTGAAACTGGAGTTACAGATGGTTGTGAACTCAACCCAGGTCCTCAGGACCAGCATCCGGTGCTCTTAACTGCTGAGCCATTTCTCTAGCCCCAGAACTCATTTTGTAAGCTTCTTGCTGGGAATCTGATGCTGAAGAACCCGTTTTAAATTGTTGTTTTCCGTAGGTTGGAAACTGGTGTAAAATCTTTGTTTAAGAGATTTTATATAAATAGAGTCCTACATTATAAGTCTTTGGTATTTAACAGTCATAAAAGTAGTTTTATTTATTTTTTTCTGGGACTACAGATATTCAGTTATTATTTACTAATAAAGTTAGTAGGTTAGTACACAAGAGCGATATTTTATAATTAAAAAGAATGATAGTATTTACCCTCTACACCCGGTTGAGCCCTCCTTTGACTCAGCATTTCTGGAGCAGTATTGTTTTTTCTCTTCAATTTGAAGCGTCTTTGCTTGTCAGATTCTTCTTCCTTTTCTGTCTTCTTCGACATCTTGGTGTTTCCATCAGTTTGTATTTTGTTAGCTATATGATGTATTTGGGGATTAATGTGTGTAATTCTTACAGAAATCTTTTTTTTCTATGACTATGAAGAAAATATTTTCCATTTATAATTTTAGTGACTTACATAGTAATAAAAATTTATCATAATATGTTAATGTTTTTAAAAACTCTTATTGGTTTGCAATCCTAGTGAAATTTCTTTTCTTTGTGTGTGTGTGTGTGTGTGTGTGTAGGTCAGAGGACAGCTTGTGGGAATCAGTTCTCTCCTTCCACCATGTGGGTCCTAGGGAGGGAACTCAGTTCTTTGGTGCTTTTACATACTTGTTTTACATCCTTCTCACTGGCTGGAAATTTTTTAAACATTTAGGTCTACTTTTTGCAAACTCTCCCAACTACACTGAGTGTTTCTCTCTTTTGGTTTTGCCATTCCCAGTGGTGTCTTCTAAGTACTGCTAACTTTTAGGCTCACTTTGTTCTTGAGTTTCTTTTTTTTTTTTTTTTTAATTGAGCTTAGAGATTAGAAGCTGCCTTGCTTACCGAACAAGATGCTGTGCCAGCAAAACTCAGGTGGCGTGTGCATCGCTCTGCCTGACTTCAGCCCTGCTGTCTGCAGTAGTGCCTTGCTCCAGAAGGTGGCGCTTGTTTGTGCGTGCGTGCGAGTTTTCCAGGCTGCAGGCAGGAGTTCAGGGGTGGCTTCCCTTATTATTGCTATTGAATTGTATGTATAGCAGTGTTTTGCCTGCACGTATGTTTGTGCACCACGTGTGCCTGGTGCCCGCAGAGGCTGGAAGTGGCCATTGTGGATGCCCACATTCTAGATAGTTGTGAGCTGCTATGTGAGTAGGGACTTCACCCTGGGTCTTCTGGAAGAGCAGGCAACACACTGTCGTCTCTCTAGACCTGAGGTTTCTTTTTAAAATAACCAAAAGTACTAAATACAATGACATTTTGGAGTAGATACTGTAATGATTCTATTTATGCCATCGTAACCAGATAAAACACTAATTGTGCACTAAAAAATATGATCGCTTAAGCTGAATGCACAAAAGGAGAATTTGTTTGAAATTTCTAGGTAACTTTGGGGTTAGGCGTAGTGGGCACACCTTTTATCCCAGCACTGGGGGTTGGGGCAGAGGCAGGGAGATCTGTGAGTTTGAGGCCAGCCTGGTTTACATATCAAGTTTCAGGCCATCCAGAGCTACATAGAGAGACACTGTCCCAAAAGACAAAACAACAAGACAAGACAAAACAAAAAACCCAAAAATGATTGACGTTTTTGTCATCAAAACTTTAAGAAATAAAACAGCAGTGCAGGATTTGCATAAGTAGAGACACCCAGGTATTTAGTGCATAGCGCCAGAGCTGACACAGCCATTGTGGAATTGATGACAAATGCTGTGCTAATGTGAATTAATTCATGTAGAGCAATTTGAGTAAGAAATAAATGTGAACCAGTTAAGGATTCGAGGAGGATTCTGTTCACAGGACAGAGATGCTAGTGACTGTGACATTGGAAAGGAGGATTGGAGCTTGGAGTGCAGGTGCAATGGGGCTACTCCAGAGCCTGGGCCCAGTGTGACGACCCATGTGGAGAAAAGCAAGTTACTTTTATATTGTAATGATTTCATTATGCCATTATAATCTGATACTGTAATTGTTTTTGACAAGTGTTTTTTTTTTAATATTTAATACTATTTTATTTTGAGAGTCTCTCTGGTACCCTTTCCAGGCTTTGAACTTGGTACAGCCTTCCTGCTCTGTCTCCTGAGAGCTGGGATGCCCCGCATGCTGTGCCATACGCACTCTCAATACTATCCTTCAGATTGGGTTTTCCTTTTTCTTTTCCTCCTCCTCCTCCTCCTCCTTTTGTGTGTGTGTGTGTGTGTGTGTGTGTGTGTGTGTGTGTGGTCTTTTGAGACAGGATTTTTCTGTAGATTTGGAGCCTGTCCTGGAACTAGCTCTTGTAGACCAGATTGACTTTGAACTGACAGAGATCTTCCTGCTTCTGCTTCCCAAGTGCTGGAATTAAAGGTGTGCGCCACCACTGCCTGGCTCGGATTGGGTTTTCTTAAGCAGTAGAAGGAAATGCTAGACCAATCACTTAGGTTATTCTGAAATGGTAGAAAGTGTCTCCGAACTTCACATGTTTAGTTCCATTCTTGATCATGAATTTTCATGACTTTACAAGGATAGTTAATAGCCATATGATAATTTGTTTTATGCACCTACCACACTCACTTCCCCACATAACCCCACATAATTGTATCAGCAAATCTGAGCCTGGTTTTGTTTCTTTTTTAAAAAACCAGACTTACTTCCTATATTAGAATATACTGGTGAGCAAGAGTTGCCATTGCTTAGCTGAGTCTGTTTCCAGTCAGTAGTGGATTAGGGTGGAGAGTCAGCCATTCCTTGTTGATGTCAAAAGCTTGTAACTTAAATTCTAAACTTGCTTAAAAAGAAATTGTCTGAGCAGAAAAGGAAAGGAGTACATGGTCTCAGTTTTTATTGCTGGATCGGGGGAATTAAGATATAGAATAAAGGCTGGAGAGATGGTTCGGTGGTTTTGGGGGCTTGCTTGCAAGCCTGGCGACTTGACCTGTTTAATCCCCAGGACCTCTGTTGGAGGAAAGAACTGGCTCCACACAGTTGTCCTCAGATGTGCACCCAGATGTGCACCCTGGCACCCTGGCATATGAACGCATGCCATACACATCACGAACACTTACAATTAAAAAAAAATATGTAATTGAATTTCCTTGTAGAATGCTAGGAAATATTTCCTAGACTTCTTTTAAACTATAACTTGTGTGTGTGTGTGTGTGTGTGTGTGTGTGTGTGTGTGTGTGCGTGCGCGTGCGTGCACACGCTTGTGCATTTGTCTTTTTGTTTGTTTTTGATTTTTGAAATAGGGTCTGATCTCTCTGTGTAGCCTGGCTGTCTTGGAACTCGGTATCTAGATCCCCTGGCCTTGAAGTCATAGAGATCTGCTTGCTTCTGCCTTCCCCACTGTTGTGATGAAGCCACTAAAGGTGGTTTATAATTCATATTTTATCAGCCTAAAATAATCTAATTTATTCTGTAATCTCTGGTGGTCACCTTGAGGTTTTTCTTCTTTTATTTCTCTGTCCCTACACAGCTGTGCCAGGAACACTGGCCTCACTGTTAAGCAGGCAGGGGTAGGATCCTAGCCTTTCACTACCTCGTATGAATGAGGATTCTCATTTTGAGAGAATTTATCATCTATGCTTATTTTTCCTTTGGAAGTCTTCAGTTTCCTCTCAGAGCTTAGAGGTGATACCAACATCCTCTTAAATGTTGCCAGGAAAACTACGTTTGTAAAATTTTTAAAGAGGCACGTCCATCCAGCCCATTAGTAAGCTGTGGTGAGGGCGGGTCAGATTGGCGGTCACAATCTTACCTTAATTGTGAACAGTTAAGAGCCTTAGGGGTGCAGTAAGTGTGCAGGGGAGCAGTAAGTGTGCAGAGGAGCAGTAAGTGTGCAGAGGAGCTGCCTCTGGAGGCTCACACTTGCCCAGCACTGGCCTGCTGACAGCTGGATGCCAGGAGCTCATTGGATTCTCTACAGAGAATGTTTACATTAAAATATAGAGATAAGAAATCAATTTTATTGAATGTCAGGAGTTAGTAATTAAGGAGATAAAGCAGGTGCAGGACTGATAGAGGCTTTGCTGGAGGAAGCGCTCCGTGAACCTGGCATCTGGGTAGAGGACGGATTCTAAATACAGACCGGGATGCCGCCTGGTTGGAAAGTGCTTACCTGGTGTGTCAGGCCTTCCGTTCAGTCTCAAGTACCGTACACACATAAAGAAATACAGTGTAAATAGAAATGGCTGGGAAGGAGGCAGGAAGGCTGGCTGTTGTGACTTGAAAGGTGATTTAGGAAATATTAAAGTAGTGGCCATAGGAACAGAGCTACATAAACATCATCCATGTCAGCTCACCTGAAAAAGAAGGGGCATACTCACAGAAACTGTCGCCTGTATTATGACAGGAAGAGACAGTGGCGTCCTGTAGAGGTTTATGGAATGAGAAGCAGGCGACTTTGTTAATAGTCACGTCGAGTTTGTGTGGAAATAAAGTATCTGCAAAGGAGTATTTAGGTATTTACGGATGCATACAGGAACAACCGGGGCTCCATCACAAAAGAAATGTCATACTCTTACTAGGCTAATTTGTGGGAAGTTTTAGTGAAGGAAACTCAGCGCGGTGCGAAGGAGGGGAAGGAGAGCAGCACCCCAGCACTGTGCAGCAGGCCTCTTTCTATTCTTGGCTCCAGAGCTCAGGGGAGGAACTACTCAGCCACTCAAATGCAAAGCAGTTGCCCTGGAAA